GGCATTGAGTCATGTCAGAGTGCTGAGAGCAGCACGAGTGGATGAGGTCCTAGGAGTGGATGCTTTTAGGAAGATGCAGCCACAGAGTAGGCAATGGGCTTCAGGGGGTTGGGGGAGCATTTTTATAATAATGCTTATCTTATAAACCTTCAAAAATAAAGAGCCCACAAGAAAATTCACTGCATTTCTACCAGGTGGAAAGGATTTTGGTAAATCTTGAGTTCAAACTAATACATTAGCACAGGCAGGAAAAAGTTGACAGAGGAGGAGGAGGATTAATTTCTGGGAGCAGGAGAAAAAGGGGAGGAAGAAACTGTGACAACTAAACTGTGGGCTGCCTTGAGCACCTTTCTGAGGGCCTGGGCTTTGTCTCTTAGGCTATGGAGAGCCATAGAAAGTTGTGGCTCCTATCTAGACATGAGAAGTACTGGGTCAGTAAGATGAGAAGGAAATTGGTAAGAGAGGTAAGAGTGTGAAGGGACAGAGTGAGCCACCATCTGCTAGCTGCCTCATACTCATGACACACACGCCACATATATTACACACATGCACATACCACACACATGTATGCTGCATGCACACACAACACACATACATGGACCACACATGGCGCACACATGCCCCTCACTTGCACCCACCACCCACACCTTGTTACACATAACGCATATGCACATGCATACACACATATACTTCATACACACATATTCACTGCGTGGACACATGTTCCACACAGTGGAGTATACACATGCACCATACAGATGTACATATGTATAGCATATACACACGCTGTCTTAGTTCATTTGGACTGCTGTAACAAAATACCATAGAGTGGGTGGCTTATAAACAACAGAAATTTGTTCCTCGCAGTTCTGGAGGCTGAAAGTCTAAGATCAGGACACCAGCAGATTCCGTGTCTGGTGAGGGCCAGCTTCCTGACACATGAACATCTGTTTTCTCGCTGTGTCCTCATGTGGTGGAAGGGCTGAGGGAGCTCTTTTGGGCCTCCTTTTATAAGGGCACTAATTCCACTCATGAGGACTCCTTTCTCATGACCTGATGACCTCCCAGAGCTCCACTTTCTATTCCCATCACCTTAGAGCTTAGAATTTTAACATATGGATTTGGGAAGGGCTGGCACAAACATTCAGACCATAGCACATGCATGCACGTTGTACACATGCGTTTTGGTACCTCTCCTGAGGGTTTGGGGGCAGCTGAGTTGACAGGTGAGGGTTAGGTGTAATGACAGCTCTTATACCTGGAGAGATGGAGGGTGATGAAGGCAACAGGGTCACTGTCATCTTCACATAAGCGGTACCTTTGTGATACTTTGTGAAGAGTGAGTGTGAACATTTAAAGGGTGGACAGGATTGATTGCAAGAGACATGAAATAACAGCTGTATTTGGAGTGAGGGAGAGGGATTTGGCAAGCCAGGCCTCAAACACTGAGCTCCAGGGAACGTGACCTTTCCGAGCAAACATCTTCTTTGGAATCACTGGCTATGACTTGGGTACCCCTCCTCCCCTTCAGTCAGGTGGTGAATGTCTGTTGTATGCATTCTGTTTCCAGAGAAAAGCTTGAGGGCAACACTTGTTGCCTCATTAAGTTACACATCTATTCCCGGTTAAAGACTCTAGCTTCCTAGACAGAAATCCATAGGTTCAGCAATTGACCACCTTTTACTCTCCATTTCTCGTACTTGCCACTTGTTTTTCTAAACTCAGGATTGTCTCTGATTCTTTGGCTATTAAAAACAAACTAAAGGAGAGAGACTCTCTTGTTCCTAGTGGCAGCACTCAAAGAGGCAAACTGAGTAGGTGGGTAGGTCAGGTTCCTGCCTAGGCGTGAACCTACATGACGGTGCTTGCCTACATGACGGTGACTCTTGTTGACTCCAGGCAACCGTGCTGCCAGCGCCCCCATATGCAGGTGACACTTTATCCTGCTCACCACAGTTAACAGTGCCCAGGCTTGCAATCTGCCAAGAAGGGTCTGGAGACCACACCCGGCCCATTCCCAAGAAGGCAGACGGTCCTGCTGTCTAGACCACTCGGCAGGAGCCCGTTCTGTGTTTTTCCTTTAACACATTTAGAACCTTGTTATCCCGGCTCATCAGGAGTGGGAGCTGCAGGGAGACCTACTCCATAATCTGCAACCTGGCTGCTGACTCACTTTCCTACTCCCACCCTTGGTGCTGAAGCATTGATGCTTGCTCCCCCGCCTCCCACCGTGTGCCCAAGCCCGCAGCTGCAGGGGTGACCGACGGTGGTACAGTGGGGGCCAGAGACACCTGCACTTGACAGGACGCTTATTTTTACATACTGTTGGCTGGAAATAATCAACTTTATTTAAAGAGAATGTGGATTCAGAGTGTTAAAAAAAGCACCCAACAACTTGCAAGGGCTGTTTTAAGAGTGATTCTCCTGCCTCCTTTGGAAGGAAGCTGCAGGTTCCATGCGAGGGAAGCTAAGACTGGGGTTGCTGAGGACACGGCACAAGGACAGATGTCCCCCCAACCCCACTCCAAGCTGAGACTGACAGCCCTTCATCCTGGAGGAGGCAGAACCTGTGTGGGTGTCACCAGCGGTATGGGCCAAGTGACTGCTGTGTTGTTGGAAGCAGTGTTCTCAAGTCCCTCCTTCTCCCCATTATACTCATTCTTCTCTCTAGAGAGAGAACTGTTTCTTTCTCCCTCACCTTTGAGGAGTCTTCATGTTTATTCTAAACCTGATCTCTCTGTCAAGTGCACTAGGGCCATGTTGATCTTTATTTTATGGGTGTGGATATCTGTGTGTTTAAATAATTTTGGTTATTTTCAAATGATAATGTATGCAGAAAGCTGTCAGTGAGAAGGAAGTCTCTTTCATCCCATTTTCCAGTTAGAGTTAGCTGCTGCCACCCTATTGTTCTTTTGGAGATAATCTCAGTACGTTCAAGTGTGTCCACATTAGATGTGAGCTTTAAAGCTCCTGTTGGTGCTCACATGGAAGGATCCTGTGGAAACTTGGAGACTGGGAGAGTCCTTGCTGTGCTAAGCTCCTCCATACCCTGTACCAGGGGTCAGACTAGTGCTACTTCCATGGCTCTGGGAGGGCTCCTGGATACAGGGGCTGCAAGACATGTCACTGTCTCCTGTCAACACCTTTTAAAGAGAACCATTTTTCCCTTAGTTACAAAAATGTCTACATATTACAGGGAATTTGGGTAGTACCTAGGTACAAAAAAGAGTCAAAATCCTTGTTATTCTACTCGAGAGATAACCACAAAGGTTAAATGTGCTTCCTTTTAGTCTTTTTCATATATATGTGCATATGTGTGTGTATGTATATTTCTTGTTAGAAATTGAAGCCATAATATACTTAAAAGTAATGTCCTTTCTTCAGCTTTATAATATGTTGAAACCTTTCTTCACATCACTAGTCTTTGAAAATACTTTTATTGGTTACATCTACATTAATTTTTATTTTACTACCTATTTTCAAGGTATTGAGCATTCTTTAGTTTGCTTACCCCTACCTTGCTTTCTTGTGTCATTGAGCTGGGTACCCTCTGTGGCTTTTGCTTCTTATGTGTCATTTCTGTCCCCCACAGCGGCCTACCTATAAGGGTAGTTTCAGGTCAACATCATTTCTCATTGGTTAGCGCCTGGTCCTGCCAATATTCAGTGCAGAATTTTGAATATCATCTCTGATTGAAATCAGTTTCCTTTGCCATTGTGTTTGTTCAGGCTGCTGCAACAAACCACAAAATAGGCAGCCTAAACAACATTGAGTCTCTCACAGTTTTTAGGTAGGAAGTCCAAGATCAAGTTATCAGCCAGGCCATGCTCCCTCTGAAAGCCCTAGGGGAGGGAGGATCCTTCCTTGACTCTTCCAGCTTCAGGAGATGGCCCACAATCCTTGGCGTTACTTAGCTTGTAGACACATCACTCCAATCTGTTCACATGGCTTTTTTCACATTGTCTTCCCTGTGCATCTTTTTCTCTGTGTCCAGAGTCCTCCCTTTAAAGATACTGATCATACAGGATTGGGGGCCACCCTAATGACCTCATTGTAACTGAATCACTTGGGACTCTCTCCCTACCAGCTTTCATCTACTAGTCTCCAAACAGGCCCTGGAGAAGTTGGCTGAGCTGTGCCTACTGTTGGAATGTTCTGTGTTCATGGCTGCTGCCTCCATGTCTAGGCATTTATCTGTAATTTAGATCTTCAGTGCACTGTAATCATGGACTTGTGATTCTAAACTTATCTTTATATAGTGTCTATATCATTAATATTGTTAATTTTATGGAAAATATTATATTTTATTTTTAACACTAGTTTCTTGGCTAGGTCTATATGTATCTGTGCTGTGTTTATAACAGACACATACAATAGGATTTGGTTAATTGGGTTATTTAGACTGTCTCATTAAATGTATTGCTTACTTCTTAATGATGCATACAATTTTAATGCAGTTCCTTTGGCTTTGATTTATTTACCAGGAGAAAATAGGCTATAGATAGGATTAGGATTGAAGTTTTTAGCGGCCATAGGATGAAATTATTTTTCCTTTTAAAAAAAAAATAAGATAGTCCTTTCCAAGCAGTTTATAAGAAACCAAGCACTATGAGCCCAAGGATTTTATTAAAAGGGCCCTCCGATTAATTAACAGTCCTGAATCTGAGCATTATGGAGGCCTGCAGAACCAGGCTATGCTTTGACTATGGTCACAGATATTTTTCCTAATCTTGAGGATGCTGCAATTGGGTTTCTTCTCTGTAGTTTTTCCCTTGTCCTGTGATTTCCTCAGACTGTGCAGAAGTGTTGGAAGGAAATTGTCCAGAAAGAGAGGGAGTTTGCAGATACAAAAGCAGGTGAGCTTGAGATGAAACTTGGGTTGGATGAAATTCGGGCTGGTTACTCCTTTAGGACATAGGAGTAGCATGTGCTGGGCTGCACAGGGGGTCCTCTGCTCATGCCTGCTTGGCTGTCATCTTACCTTTCTTATTCTTTCTCAGGATCCAGGAGCAGTTCCAGAAAAACCCCGACAGTTACAATGGTGCTGTCCGTGAGAACTACACCTGGTCACAGGACTATACCGACCTGGAGGTCAGAGTTCCAGTGCCCAAGCATGTGTTGAAGGGGAAGCAGGTAATGGCTTTGTGGGGTGGTCATGGGCTGGCTTCACTCAAGCTGTCTGAGCTGGTTTGGGAATGACCCAGCATCCTTGAGGAATATCAGAATTGACTTCAGGATGTGAGGCTTATTCCTTGTCTTGCTCCAGGAGTAGACTATATGCACCATCCTCACTCCCCTCTTTCTGTCCATGAGGTTCTCCCAGCCGGTCTGCAGAAGGCTTCTCCTGGAGAGAGTCAGCGCTGTTTTCACTCTGAGCAGTACACAACGCCAAGATGTGCATGTGGCTTCCTAAGAAGAAGCCCACGCATCTGATGTCCTTACCTTTTTTATAAACAAAGTCATAGACACTCTTGGAGCCCCATTGTAGATGGCTAGCCTCTCAGTTTTCAAGGAAATACTCAAACATTACTTTGGTGAATTCTATAATATTCCTAAAAACGAAACCTGCCTTCAGCCTCCCTAAGAAAAATCTAGTCAACTAAACTTACAATGATAGCTAAAGTGATTCACATAGTGTCTATCATATGTGTTTCCTGGCTTAGCCAGCCCAGGGTCCAGTAAACTCACATTAGACAGAGTGACACACTAGGTAGCACAGCCCCATGTGTAGTGATAAATTGGTGGTGCTCCCTACAGCTCCATCACTGCTTAGGGGCATGAGGGCTGAGCCTGTAGTTCATGCCACCCACTGAGGCCAGATGTACTACTTCTTAAAGGGTCTTCATGGAGAGCTCTTTCAACATCCTCAGGGCATAGGTGCCAGCCTATGGGCCTTTCCTTCCCTCAGCAACTAACACAAAACTTCTTTTTCTTCAGCTACACACACTTCTCTCATCTACTTTAAGGCATGTCGGGTCATGGGTGAGACCCAGCGAGTCCTGAAATGCAAAGCAAAGAACCTTAGGTCACAGTGATGAAGTAGATGTCCAGGCCTGTGCACTATGGGGCACTTCCATGGAACAGGGAACCGTGTAACAATTTGATTGTCAGAAACTTGGATAATTTGGTAACTTCTTTCAGAAACTCGAGGTTTCTGAAACCTCTTATCTAGTAAGCATAAGTGAGTAGAAGCACGAAGTTTAATCTTTTAGTGTGAGAGAGATGTTTACTCAGGGAACCTGATAAGAATAACATCATAGCCAGGCTCGGTGGCTTAGCCTGTAATCCCGCACCTTTGGGAGGCTGAGGTGAGCGGATTGACTGAGCCCGCGGGGTTCGAGACCCGCCTGTGCAGCGAGACCTCATCTCTACAATAAATCAAAAAATCAGCTGGGTGTGGTAGTGCACGCCTGTAGTTCCGGCTACTTGGAAGGCTGAGGCGGAAGGATCGCCAGAGCCCAGCAGATCGAGGCTGAGGTGGCCGGGAGCGGCCACTGCACTCCAGTCTGGGCGATAGAGTGAGACTCCAACTCAAAAAATAAAGAATAACATCATCATAGTTTATTGTAAATAGGTAGGCTTCACTTTACAAAAACAAACAAAAAAACAAAACTCATGCAACAATGCAAAGTGGAGCATGACATAATTGGAATCCACAATATAAAAAAATTTGACATATGTCAGATACTGTATCCTTATTTTAATCTTCACGAGAACCTGCAAGCTGCGAAGTAAGTAATATCATCCTATTTCATAGATGAGAAATTGACGCTGAGAGAAGTTACCAAATTATCTAAGTTGACACAGAAAATCTACAGTATTGTCTCCCTTGTTGTTACTCCTAGAACAGTGAGCACTCTGGATAAGTTTTTGAATGAATGAAGTGGCAAAGCCATGGTTTGATTCAGGTGTGTCTGCTTCTAAAGCTCATACTTTTTCATCTGGGCTGCACTCCTTACTCTATATGTTCAAGTGTTTCTGGCTTCTTAGAAGGAGAGACTGGCTGGGGCAACTTAAAAGTCGAGTTGCATATGCATTTTCAGGAAACAACCTGCTCTGTACTTTGGGAGCAGGCTGACTGGCACCCTGCATCTCACATGGTGACATAGTATCAATGAGTTGCAAGTGGCCTGGCTTTGTCAGGAAATAGTTGTCCACTCAGTTTTTCCTGACAAAGCCAGGCCACCCTGCATCCCAATAGACCTCGCACCCTGCATCCCAATAGACCTCTTATCTTGTGGCCCCTAGAATCATAGTTTCATATAATTTTAGGCTCCAAGTCACACCAGATCATTAGGGATAATCCACGCAATTCTAGCTTCAAATAACTACTTCCTGTCTGCTTTTAATAGGTCAGAAGCAAGTGCTAGCTGCCTTTCCCAGGTAGTTTGCCAAGTATCTTCTTGGGGTTTTAGTGGGCCAGGTATTAATTTTCATATCAGTTTTTGTTATGCTTTGCTGCTATATAGTTGAATAAGTTATGAAAAGTGTTGATTACCATACTTCATTTACTTGACTTAAATTATAGCTTCCTGGTCCTTTACCTGACTTCTAAACTGCTCTTTGAACCTCTAGGGCTTTCTATGAAAGGACTGTTAGAACCAGCCTAAAACTAGTTATTTTTTCCTTTGACTCAAGAGACCCAGGTTACAAAACAGCTTTCAGCATACTACCCACAACTGTCTGGGACAACCTGCTGGAATGGTGTCTCAGATGTGCTCACTGACTAACTGGGGTGTTGATGCTGTGATTCTGCTATGTAGTGGACACAATATTGTGAGAGTCCTGCTCTATGTCTTTTCTCAAGTTCAGGTTTACATCTCTCTTCAATGCAGTTGTCAAGACATCTAGGGTGATATAACTGTACTTTTCACAAGGGATAATCCTGGGTTTGGCTCATTCTGCATTAGATTTTTTCTGACCACATAGGCTGTGCTTTTTCCTAGGAGCTGCACATGTGAGAGTGTCACCAAGACAAACAAGATTGCCTACATGGTTGGAAAAGTTTTTTTCTTCTTCAGGAGTATTTTTTTCCCCATGTCATTCTTATAACACTGCAAACTTCTTTTACAAATTCTTAGTCTCTCTGTTTCTTAGTGATCTAAGAGTTTTAGTCATGTCTCACTTAAAACTTTGAAATACGTTTATTTTGTATTTCTTCGATTTTGCTGGTCTAAGGGTTTTTCTCAGAGTTGCACTTCCTTTTGGACTGGCTCCTTTCCAATTGTTCCCTAAGAGTACCTGTCACGGCTGCCTATCGGCAGTGTTTATTTTTGGTTTTTGTCTGTGGCACCCATCAGACATTGTCACATCCGATGGTAGCAACTCAGCTGATAAAATCAGAATTTGTTCTAGATTGGAGATTGAAGGACTTTGTCTAGGCAGCGCTGTGTTTGTGTTGGGGCTGTGAGATAGAGTGTCATAGGAGAGTTGGGTCCTCTGTTCTTCAGCTGTAGCTTGATGCTGGCATTATCAGAACTTTGCCTCTCCTGGATGCTCTCATATATCTCTTTCTAGAGAAATTGATATGATGTGGTTACACATGCCACTCAAGGGTAGTGGGACGCAAATGAGGGTGTGTGCATAAGGCTTTGTGTTCTTCAGAAGAAAAATAGAATTTTACATGCAATGTTGACTTTTTTGACAGTTTGATTATGATGTGTCTGGGTATAGCTCTCTTTTAGTTTATTCTTTTTTTTTTTTCCTGAGTAGAGTCTCACTCTGTCACCTAGTCTGGAGTGCAGTGGTATAATCCCAGCTCACTGCAGCTTCAACTCTCCTTGCTCAGGCAATCCTCCCTCCTTGGTCTCCTGAGGAGCTGGGACTACAGGCACATGCTGCCATGCTCAGCTGATTTTTGCTTTTTTTGTAGAGATGAGGTCTCGCTATGTTGCCTAGGCTGGTCTCAAACTCCTGGGCTCAAGCAATCCTCTTGCCTTAGCCTCCCAAAGTACTGGGATTACAGGTATGAAGCACCGCATCCAGCCTTCTTTTAATTTATTCGACTTGGAATTTGTTGAGTTTTTTGGATGTGTAGTTTGATTTTTTTTTTTTTAATGTCAAACTTGAAAAGTTTCTAGCCATTATTCTTTCAAATATTCTTTGGCCCTATCTCATTTTCCTCTTCTGTGGATCCCATTATGTGTATGTTGTGCTTGATGGTGTCCTTCAGGTTTCTGAGCTCTGTTCATTTTTCTTTTTCTTTTTTTTTTTTTCCCTGTTCCTTAGACTGGGTAACCTCTATCTTCAAGTTTGCTTATTTTTCTCCTAAATGCTGAAATCTGCTTTTGAACCCCTCTAGTGAATTTTAAATTTTTGTAAGTTACTTTTGAACTCCCAAATTTGTTTTTTAAAAATAATTTCCATCTCTTTATTGATATTTTTTTATTTATGAGACTTCATTTTTACACTTTATTTCTTTTTACATGGTTTTCTTTAATTCTTTGAGTATATTTAAAATAACCGATTTATAGACTGTTTTCTACTAAGTCCATGTGGACTTCCTCAGGGACAGAGTTTATTGATTGCTTTCTTTCCCCTGTGTATGGACCATACTTTCTTGTTTCTTTGCAAGTCTTGTAAGTTTTTTGTTGTTGTTGAAAACGAGATGTAAGTAACACAGTATGGCAGCTCTGGAAATCAGATGCTTCTTTGCATGCTTGTTTGTTGTTGGTACTTGATGTACTTGTTTTTTTGTTTAATTACTTTCCTAAACTAATTTTGTAAAGCTTGTTTTTTTTGCTGTGTATGGCCAGTGAAATCTCTACTTGGTAAACTTAGTGGCTATCTAATTACAAGGCAGAGATTTTCATAAAACCCTGGGAACAGTGAATATCTCAATCTTTGCCCAGGGGTGCCATGTACATTTTGGGCATATCTTCAGTATATAGCCGAGCAGTTCTAAAATGCTGCCTTAGCCCTCACTTCCTGGTCATGTAGAATTAAGTTAAACCAGAAAAGAGAGCTGAAAGCCTTCTCAGTTTTCCTGAATGTGCACTGAGTCCTACACATTCATACTGCTATCTAGATTTCCAGGAATATATCAGTGCTTTTTAAAGCCCCCACAGATGTTTTGCTTCCCAGCTCTTCCTTTAATTTGTTATCCACTACCTCAAGCAGCTGCAAAGTTAAAACACTTGCCTATAATTACTTTGAACAAACTCTCCCTGGAGGGAAGGTTTTTCTGAGGCCTGTCTTCCAAGTGTGGCCTTCCAGGATGTTATCAGATAGGTCAAATAATGACAGTTCTTTGTGAAAGAAGCTTTAAAAGACTCTAGCTCTGCTTTCCTCTCCCTGGTGACTGCTAGGCTGCACCAGGAATGTAGGTTGCCAAGGAACTGGAGAATGGGGAGGGGTCTAAGAAAGTTAAAATGTCACCGAGCTCATTGGTTTTATTGAGATGTCGTTTTTCTTGAATTAATGCTCCCTAGGTTCCTACACATTTTTGGTTTAGTCTCCAAAATGTATAAAGAAGTTGATATTGGCAATTTTTGCTAATTTTTGTGTTGTTTTTATGGAGCAGACCTTTTTTTGAAGCCATTTTTACTGACATTCCTTTGGATCAGGAATTTCTTACATAGTTTTTGTTTTTCATGAGGGTTCTTGCTGTTTTTTTTTAATCTTATCAAAAATAGTATACTTTCATCATAACCTCAAAATTACCTAGACTCATTAGTACTATGTATTGTGTAGAACCCCCTTTCTTCCTGAACTCCGATCTGGACTGGTTATTTCTAGTTCTGCTGTATAGGTACTATCCTGGAATTTCCTTCCTGAACTTCAGGAGTGAATGCACCGTTATTTAGATCTGAGTTGGATATTCCTGGGTTTCAGTTCTCATCCTTATTTTGTTTTTCTCAAATTGATATGTGATAAATGCAGAGTTTTTGAATGTCTTAAAATGTGTTTATTTTAACCTTTTATTTATTGCACAATCTGGGTGTGTGTAGAATTTTAGCTTAAAAATGATTCTGCCCTTAGAAGATTGCGTTACATCCAGTGTTACTGAGTCTAGAAGTTTCTTCCATGCAGGGTCTTTGTGAGTAAATCTTTTTTCCTCCTCTGGAAATTTTAGAACCTTTAAACACACACACACACACACACACACACACTCAGTGTTATGAAATTTCATGAGTTTGAAGAGGTCATTTTTTGTTCATTCTGCTCATCTCTCAGTGGGACTTTTCAATTTGATGGTGTATTTTTCTTTGGTTCTGGAAAATTTTGTTATTACTGTCATAGTTTCTGGAATGCCAGATTGATTGCCTGAACTCATCTCTGTCTCTACCTTGATTTCTTTGATTTTTATATTCCAGCCTTTTTATTGACATTTAAATTTTAGCTACTTTATTTTTAATTCTTGTGTTCTTTCATTTTGGCCTAATTGTTTTATTTTCATATTTTATTCTGGTTCTATAGATGCAGTATCTTCTCATATCTCTGTGAAGATATAAACTGGAAATATTTTAGAGTATCCTTTTTCCTAATTAGTTCTGTAATCTTTTTTTTTTAAACCTAAGTCTTTTCATGTGGCTTTTTTTCCCCTCAGAGGATGCAATCTGCAGTTCCCTAGTAGTTTCTTGTTTTTTAAAAATAAAAATAGGTATATATTTTTCCATCCTCTTGAGTGTAGACAGTGTTAATGGGTTTATCTGCAGTGTGTCTGAGGTTTGCTTCTTCGACCACTGCTGAGTGCTGAGCAGATCAATTGATCAGCTTTGCTTTACAAGACATAAGACCTTGGCCATCCCAGTGCTTGCGTGAGTAGGCCTTTATTTGGGGCACAGGTATCTATGTCAGGCTCCTCAGACTGGTCAGTGTCTTTGAAGCAGGGCCACAACTACGTCCATGTGTTACCCTGTCCCCATTCCTGCCCTCTGTACCTGCTGACTTGCAACTGAAGGCCATGTAGCTTTGGCTCCCAGATGTCTCCTGCCTTGTAGTCTCTATCACCCACTCCTCTCCTCTCCTTCCTTTTTATTTTTATTTTATTGAGTCAGATTCTCACTCTGTTATTCAGGCTGAGTGCAGTAGCATGCTCACAGCTACCACAGACTCGACCTGCTGGACTCAGGCGATCCTTCTGCCTCAGTAGCTGGAACTGCAGGCGTGCCACCATGTCCAGCTAATTTTTTAAAAAAAATGTATTATAGAGATGAGGCCTTTTTTTTTTTTTTTTTTTTTTTGAGTAGGAGTCTTATTCTGTTGCCCAGGCTGTAGCACGCTCAGGGCCACTGCAACCTCGACTTGCTGGACTCTGGTGTTCCTTCTGCCTCGGCCTTCCAAGTAACTGGAACCACAGGCGTGTGCCATCATGCCCAGCTAATTTTTTTTTTAATTGTAGAAACAAGGTCTCACTAAGTTTCCCAGGCTGGTCTCGAACCCCTGGGTTCAGGCGATCCTCTTGCTGCTGCTTCCCAAAGTGCTGGGATTACAGGTGTGAGCCACCATGCTCGGCTCCTCCTTTCATCTTCCACAGATTTGTTGACATCTCATCTTCTCCTGGCCTCCCACAAACCCCCTTTCACTGTCTGGATTTTTTCTCATTGTGTCTGTCATGTCTGCAGGTCACAGGAGGTCAGAGAGATAACTGCTTGTTCCCATTGTGACATCTTCAGCTGGCACCCCTGGAAGCATCTCGTCTGGTTTTCTCCCTTGACGATTTGGTTCATTCCCCTGGGTAGGCAGTGTAAGAAGCTTGCCCAAATTTGGAAATTATCATGTTATATAGAGCTGACTGGGAGAATTATATTTAAGTGAGTTTGTTCTTAGGAGGCTAGGACTGAAGAGCCTTAACCCTCTGTGTCAGGTTTCCATTGCAAGCAAGTTCATGGTTCAACATGATTTGGGCCAGTGTGTGTCTGGATCCTTGCAGGAGTGAGTGGGGCTTGCTTGCTTGCTCAGGTTACTCTTGCTGTTAGAAGGAGGGGAGTGAAGATCGGCTATGCCTGCCGTTCAGTAAGACCAGCTAAGTAAACAGATTTTTTTCACAATAAGTTCTTGTATGAAGGCCAGCGTACATGGAACTGCAATCTCATGGGAGGTTACCTGCTTGGAGTCTGCATCTGAATCTGGCAATGCATCCCATGATCTCAGAATATCCTCACTGTATCTACCTGCTGGGCAGCCCTCTGCCACCTTCTCTCAGGCACAGCCCAGGAATCATCTTTCATTTAGATACTGTCTGATGGTGGTGATTTCTGCACATAGTTTCTCGTTTCCTTTTTTATTAATGTTTAAGCTACAGTTAGATTACAGTATCATTTAATTGGCCAATATTAGACAATAATTTGAAAAATCTTAACTTTGAGGGGGTTTTTTCTTCAATCATTTTATTTTTTATTTTTAATATATATACATATATACACAAACGCACACACACATATATATTTTTTTGTGTAGAAACAAGGTCTTGCTATGTTGCCTAGGCTGGTCACAAACTCTTGGGCTCAAGCAATCCTCCTGTCTTGACCTCCCAAAGTGCTGGAATTACAGGTATGAGCCACCATGCCCAGCCCATTTTATAAGCATTTAATGAGCCACCTACTGAGTGACATGAAAGTAGCATCTGAAACTTGTAATCCCAACACTTTGGGACGCTGAGGTGAGAGGATTACCTGAACCTAGGGGTTTAAGACCAGCTTGGGAAGTTGGTGAGACCTCATCTCTACAAAAACTTAGCTGGGCATGGTGGTGCATGCCTGTAGTTCCTGCTACTTGGAAAGCTGAGGTGGAGGGATCACCTGAGCCCAGCAGGTCAAGGCTGCGGTGGCCATGAGCGTGCCACTGCACTCCAGCCTGGGCGACAGAATGAGACTCCAAATCAAAATTAAAAAAAGAAAGTAGCGTCCAAATTGTTTTGATTCTGTACACCTATTAGAACAGTTTTAAGTACTTGCTCCCAGTATCGATTTGTTGTATACATAATACAAATACTAAAAAAGCTTTTATATTATAACATACACAGATTTTCAGATTTAAACAGTAGATGAAACAAAATGGACACAGGAGTTATGTTTTCTTTCCTCTTCTAATTACTGACCTTATGACCCCCTGGGGTACATGTGTTCTGCTTTGGAGACTGTTGTCTGGAATACACGGTATGAAGTAAAGGGAACCTTTCTTCCAGCAGTTCCCAGTCCAGTTGTAGAGAAAGATGAGTGGGAGGCAGGGAGCAGCATTCCCAGGGCTCTGAGGAGAGCATATGGCCAGTCTCTGCCTGCTACAGGCTCAGAGGAAGGAGGGACAGCTGAGGCTTATAGAGTCTTGGTTTCATAAAGAGCCAAGACAAAATATAAAACCAAAAGGACTGGTCTCATTCTTTTGGATAAAGATAAAGCTATAGTCAAAAGGCAATACGGTGGCTCATGGAAGGAAGAGTCAGTGCTTGTCTTTTGTACAATAGTCCTGGGGTAAGTAGTTCCACGTGTGCAGCCACTCACCTCTCTTGGTTGTTGTGATCCAGTGCTGTACTCCTGCAGCTTCCAGATAGCCACAAGGGGAGGCAAAGGGAAAGCACCCACCACTTGTCTCCTCTGCTCATCCTCTGCTGTGAGAATTGGTCTCCCCTAACTGGAGGAGAGAGAAGGGATTTGAATAAAAAACCAGCAGCTTCCACCATAGTACCTTACATTACCAATTATGTTGAGAAAGATTTTCTGGTACATTTACGTGAAGTTACTGATAGTTTGCAGGTTGCTCTGAGTGTAAGTTAGGCTGGTATGGTTTTCTTCTCTGAGATGCCCGGTGAGTCCAATAACACTGTTGTGGTGCACAGCCAGGTACTTTGGAAACCGTCGTCCCTCCCATCACACGGCACACCAGTAGTCACACTCACAGGTGAGTTTATTTTCTTTTGCTGTGTCCCCAGGTCTCAGTGGCCCTCAGCAGTGGCTCCATCCGTGTGGCTATGCTGGAGGAAAATGGGGAGCACGTCCTCATGGAAGGGAAGCTCACTCACAAGATCAACACTGAGAGTTCTCTCTGGAGCCTGGAGCCGGGAAAGTGCGTTTTGGTAAGTGTAGGCACCTATGTGCAGAGCACCCAGGTAGACTTCAAACCTGCTGCACTGCCCCTGTGGATCAGTAAGTCTCTAAACGTGTTCAGTAAGGTCATTAATTTCAACAATTGGGGCAGACAGATTTTTCTGAGCATTTGATATACTGCTCAGAGTATGCTTCCATGGGTCCTCAAGCCTTGGCCCATTGAGGTCCCGGTCATTCCTAAGAGTTCTTCTCTCTTTACATTTGAGCCAAGAACAGGTAAATTGAAAATTAAAAGGCAGGTTGAATTTTGAGACATGCCAGTCCAGAGGGTGAAGAGTTAATAAATTCAGACAGACTCATTTGACCAACTGGTTCCCCTCACCCAAGTGGAAGCTTCTTACAGATAAATTGAGATGCAACATATCTTGGATTAACTTGTTTCCTCTTTCTTCCTACTGTGGTGTTTACCCAGGGAATGGTAAAAGGGATAAAGATAAAAAGAAAATCATTAAGTCTAGACAAAAACTTTCAGAATTTTATGCAGGATGTATTTTTTTTTTTTTTTTTTGAGTTGGAGTCTCACTCTGTTGCCCAGACTGGAGTGCAGTGGCCGCTCCCGGCCACCGCAGCCTCGACCTGCCAGGCTCCAGCCATCCTTCCGCCTCAGCCTTCCAAGTAGCCAGAATTACAGGCATGCGCTACCACGCCCGGCTGATTTTTTGATTTATTGTAGAGATGAGGTCTCGCCTGCCCAGGCGGGTCTTGACCCCGCGGGCTCAGGCAATCCACTCACCTCAGCCTCCCAAAGGCGCGGGTTTACAGGCTGAGCCACCGAGCCCGGCTGCAAGATGTATTTTTTATATGTTCAAAGTATGTAATGCAGAAAGAGACAATACCTGTTTCGATTTCTGTAAGAAAAAGCTCAGTGGCAATGGGCTTCTCTCTGGGTCACTGTGCCCAGTGCTGACTGCCTCTCAGGGCCACGGTGGCTCTGTCATGGCTGCCTTTGTGTTTGGAGCGAGACCTTGGCCAGTGACTGAATGGAGGATGTTCTGTCGGTGTTGCAGGAACCTGGAGCAACTTTAATCCCGCTCTTGATATCAGGCCTGGAAGGTGGAGCTCACTCTGGGCTACATGGAGGTGGGGCTGACCTTGGCACAGACAGCATGCTCCTTGGTGCTGCCTCAGTCCTGAATGCTAGCTCTCCTTGTAAACCAGGTCTCCTAAGGGCCCCGTGTGTGGTTTGTGGGGCTGTGGCTGGCTGTACCTGGGCCCACCTCTGCAGACGGCCAGCAGCAGGTGGCAACAGTTCTTGTTCTAAATCTCTCTGTGTTTTACTTCCCCTGCTGGGTGGCATTCAACAACTAAAGACCAGAGAAGTACTCTTCTGCCTGCAAATGTTTTGACCATTGCTCCATCACCTGGCACCTCCGTTCCTTGTCCTCTCATTCCTTACTTATAAAACCTATGTATTATTTTTGCAGTATGAAACCTTTTCCCAAGCTTTGGGCTCCTGTGAGTACCACCAACTCCTTTCCTTTTATCATACTTAACATTTGCAGATGCCCTCATGGCCTCTCCCTCACTTGAACTACAATAGTTGTGTAGGCTCGAGAGCGATACACTGGTAGCACTGGGGCCAACTGGCTTGCCTTCTGCAGGTGCAGCACTGGCCACTCCAGCTACCCAGAGTGCACTGGCAGTCCCGTAATCCTGTGGCTGCGGTCTTTGTGGACTAAGAGGTCACTGACAGCCCTGCCTTCAAACACTGGCCTTGACTTTCCCACCTTCTGTTGGCTGAACTCGGTGCAGAGTGTGGAGTGGGTTGCAGTACCCTTGGGCGTGTTTCTTCTGCTTAAAGAGCTACTGGTCTGTGAGCCCATACCCACTGTAATTGGAATCTGTTGTGATTATAATCAGCGGACTAACAATTCCTTTTACTTTACACTATTTCTTTTCTTTTTAAAATTTATTTTATTTTAAAGATGTGGGGTACAATGCAGGATTAGGTATACAAGTGGTCATTGTACAGGTAATGTTTGGGCCTACCTTTGGTCTCCACTTTGCCTGGTTTGCAATCAGGTACAGGTATCCTTATTAATGTTATTCCCCCTTCCCCCAGGCAGTTTTCAGCTACTGCCAATCCCTTTCTTACAGTATTATGGTAAATGTTCCGGGTTCGCTTATGACTGAGAACATATGGTACTCACTTGGTGCTTTGTTTTTATGATAAATCACTGAGTATTATAGACTCTAAATCCATCCAAGTTGCTGCAAAGTTCATAATTTTGTTCTTCTTTATGGCTGCGTAATATTCCATTGTATATATGTACCACATTTTTTTATCCAGTCCTGTCTCAGTGGGCAGCACAGTTGGTTCTGTGTTTTTGCGTTTGTAAATAGTGCTTTAACATGCATGTGCAGGTATCTTTTTTGTAGAGTGACTTCAGTTCCTCCGGGTGTATTCCCAGAAGGGAGATTGCTGGATCGTATGGAAGGTCAATTTCTAGTTCTTTCAGGAATCTAACCCTCTTCCCTAAGTGCTCCCATGTGGGCCTCTGCCTGCCTTCACCCCACTCCTGACCAGGTAGCCTCCAGTGCAGTAACGTGGAGCATATCATAGAAACATTACTATTTATGGAAGTTCAACCTTCTATAGAGGTTGAACTAGTTTGCATTCCCACCAACAGTGTAGAAGCATTCCCTTTTCTCTGCATCCTTGCCAGCATCTGTTGTTGTTTGTTTTGTTTTCTTTTTTTTTTTTTTTTT